TGACGGGCTGAAAAGCTAGAACCGTAAGGCACTTTATCTAGTCAGTAACGAGAGGCATGGGATTTCGTAGGTTAACAGAGAAAAGGCAAAGCAATTGGCGATAGAAGCAACGGTGTGCATTTTCAAAGCGTTGATTGTGTGAGTTGTAGTGTCACATGAGGGTCCTTCACAAGACTGGTCGGTATTGGAGTGGCACACATGCACCTACACTGTCTCAGCGTGTAAAAAATGCGTGTCAATTTATTGGGGAAAGATTAAAAATAATTGTGTGCAAACTTGGCGAGAGGTTTATCTATCCCTGGAGAAATCGCAATCAGTTAATAACAATGTGACATTGATTGAATGTGCATAATTGACTCTTGCTAATCAGTTCACCACATCTCAAGAGTGAATGATGCGATATTTTTGGTTCAGTCGTCTAAAAATTGAGGACCGCAGTTTGTAATGTAATTGATAGGCCGGAGGGAGCCGAATGTGACTAGCAATATTGCTACGTTCAGTATCACGCAAAGTTACAAGTTATTGTAACTTTGACAGCAGAAATGACGTGATTCCAGCCATCTCGCGTGAATGTGCATGTACCATGGCCGAGTGTACCAATGACTCACCCCCTTTTGCTATTGGCCTCTATCTGCATTCGCCTGTTACGCACGCGTACTCATACGCACACAGGCCCACTTGGCTGTTTTAACACCAATAAACGGTCTTCTTCACTGTCGACTTTTGTTCTACTATTCTCGAATTGATAAATCTCTAGCCACCATATTTGGTGACCCCGACAAACGAAATCATTTACTGTCTCCGTTAGCCTGTGATTTCCTCCGAATTAGTTTTACAGCCCTCTTCTCTATCATCAAGGTTTCACCCTACCGTCGTGCGTTCCTCTGTTGAAAACAGCATTTCCGTCAGCTTTCCTCCTTAGATCTCCAATGCTCGTATTTGGTTTATGCAAATTGAGGTTCAATTTCTCAACTTGAAGGTTACTCCTCAGTATTCAAAGTGCCTACACGTCGTTCCTTTACTGCCAACAGAAGTTATCGACATTTTTGAAACAATACCCTTTCACAAGTTAAAAAGTTATTTTCATGTTCGGACGACAAGTTTGACGAGGCATGTCTTCGACACCTCCTTTCTGGTATCAAAATTGGTGACAGGCCTCCTAAGCAACTCCTCCGGCATATGCGCACCCCTGCCGGCGATAGCAATGTCGATGACGCCAGTTATGGGCTGTCTCCCCTCGTAAACCAACGCCAAAATTTCAATTCAGACCTCTGACACACCACTGGAGATACTCGCCTAGACAGCCGATAAAATCTACGAGTGTTTTTCCAGGGATGGGATCATGAGACTGTCTTCTCTGGCGTTACAGCTGGCACTTACAATTTGGGCATCAATAAGTTGGAAGAACTTACCAGAGGTAACCCGAGCAGCTTCTACAGACACCCGCAACTTCGAAAACGTTCTTCATTACGTTTTCGCCAATCCAGCCAATGTGGGGAATGGTCTGGACTATGTTAGTACCATCGGCGGTATGGTGACAAGGCACAATCCTGTAAATACCCATGTAGTAACCCCCAGGCCTTCAAGTCGTCCAATTTACCTTTGGGAAACGAGAAGGCAGGCCAGTAATGGCGACGACTGGTTCGGGCACTCAATTTAGTCGCCTATTTTACGTCCCCGATTCACACGGCGGTTTAAAATGCTTTATTGACACTGGTGCCGAGTTTAGCCGAATTTTCTCCAGGACCTGACAACCGCCACCTCGAATAATTCGCCTATCGCAACATATGGCCAAACGTAACCCACCATTGATCTAGACCTAAGACGACAATTTGCCTTCATTTTCAACGTGGCTGATGTTTAACGCCCAATAATTGTTGCTTATTTCCTTTCCCATTTCGGTTTACTAGTTGATATGGCAAAACGAAAGCTTATGGACTCAAATACAGCCCTATCAGTTCGAGGAGTCTCGACTTCAATAAATTCAATTGGACTCCACCTGGCATTGCCTGACTGCAATAGATTTGATAAACTTTTGAAATTCTCCGAGATTGTCAGAGTGGCTCAGGCGCCTTGCGAACCTACTCACCAAGTCATGCATCATATTGTGACTAAAGGTCCGCCAACGACCGCCAAGGCCAGACGAATTATCCCTAATAAGCTCGGAGCAGCCGGAGCAGAGTTTGAACATATGTGCCGTCTTGGCATTATCCTCCCCTCCAACAGCCCATGGGTGGCCCCTTCACACATGGTACCCAAGAAATCTGGAGACTGGAGACCATGCGATGATTACAGAGCCCTAAATAATGTCACAGTCCCTGACTGGTTCCCCATCCCTCATATCCACGATCTTGTCCGGGCTTATCATCAGATTCCAGTGGCCCCCGAAGCCGTCCCGAAAACTGTCGTTATTAGTCCATTTGGCATATTTGAGTTCTTACGAATGCCTTTCGGACCACGTAACGCAGCACAGACCTTCCAGAGATTCATGGATCAAGTTCTCCGTAATATCGATTTTGTCTTTGTCTATATTGATTATATTCTCATCTCCCTCAAAGATAATGACGAACATTTGCTGTACCTACGGCAGGTTTTTGCCCGTCTTAAAGCTTTCGGCATTAATATTAACACCCAGAAATGTTTGTGGAGTGGACACTGTTGAACTCCCGGACACCAGATTGACGCAACTGGTATTAGGCCCTTAGCTGAGAAAACAACAATGATTCGAAAGTATCCAATACCAGAATCCCACCGCAGTTTACGCCGTTTTCTTGGTTTGGTCAATTACAATGTACCGTTCATCCCACACGCCGTTGAAATTGTGTCTCCTCCGACTTTCTTCAAGGTAATCCCAAGAAGTTAAAACCTACTCAGGAGGCTAAAGCTGCTTTTCATGCTATAAAGGATGCGATAGCATATGTTGCAAACTTGTGCTACTGGAAGAAGGAAGCTGAGCTTGTCTTACGAACAGATGCTTCCCAAACTGCGGTCAGCGCAGTCTTTCAACAGGACCTGAACGGTCGTACTGAGCCGTTATCATTCTTTTTCGAAAGGTCCAACCAGCTCTGACTCGTTACAGCATTTTTTCCAGAGGACTATTGGCCAATTATCTTGCTATGAAGCACTTTTGACAGCTACTGGAAGGACGTGAGTTCACAATTTTAACCGATCATAAGCCACGTATTTATGCCTTTAATGCAGCCTCTGATAAATATTCCCCACGCTAATCCAGACACTTTGACTATTTTTCCCATTTCACAACCAATATTCGCAACGTTGATGAGACTGATGACGTGGCCGATGCGCTGTCCCGGGCACATATTCATGACCTTGCAGTTCCGGGTATCGATCTTGAACAATTAGTAACAGTGCAGATTGATGATCCTGAATTACAACAGTCTCGTCAAAATTCTAGTCTAAAGCTAGAAGAGCTGTCACTTCCCCAATGCTCTTCAGAAATTACTTGCGATATGTCACTTGGCAGGCTTCGCCCCTTTGTTCCTGCCTTATTTAGAAAGCAACTATTTGAAGTCCTTCATTCTCTTTCACACTCTGGTATTCGCGCCACCGTGCGCTTGATAAAAGACCGTTTTGGTTGGCCTAGCACTCGTAAAGATGTTCGATTATAAGCTAAACTCTGTATTCAATGTCAACGCTTCCGACATGGGCATATAGATTTGATTGGAACTCTTCCTGCATCTCCTGGTTTTACCTATGTCCTAACTTGTGTGGACCGCTTTACTCGTTGGCCTATGGCAGTACCCATTAAAGATGGTGCCGCCAAAACTGTTGCCCGTGCGTTTGTGGAATCATGGGTTTCCTTATTCGGTGTTCCCAGTTCTATTACATCTGATCGCGGAGCAAAATTTACGTCTTGTTTTTTTCAAGACCTAAACCTCCTTCTTGGATGCAAGCATTTCCGAACTACAGCATATCATCCAGCATTTAATAACGTGGTTGATCGTTTCCACCGTCAATTGAAATTTGCCTTGAATCACTGGTCCGACTCATTACCATTGATTTTATTAGCCATTCGGAATACGGCAAAGGAAGATATTGACTCCACGCCAGCAGAACTTGTATTCCGTGCAACTTTGCGTCTGCCTGGTGGAATGGTCACCAACTCTGACCACACTATTGAGTTCCCATCTTCATCATATGTTGATCAATTAAACTACCACATGAAGGGGATTCGACCAATTCTGACAAAAATGTCCTCACGACAAGCACAGATCCTACCAAGTTTGCTCATTTTATCTTATGTATTTGCCCGCGTTGATGGTTTAAAAAAACCTTGCAAACTCTCCATGATGGCCTCTATAAGGTGGGAGAACGCGCCGACAAATTTTTCATAATTGACAAAGGTGGTTCGGTGGATACTGTGAGCACAGACCGTCTCAAGGTTGCTTATACGGAAGACACTAATGTTCCTTCCACATGCTCGAGCAACTCTACAATCTCCCGTATTCCCACCCTGCCTAACCTTTCGTTTTGGCCGACCCCTGAGACCTGTTGTTCGCTTTGCTGATTCCATTCGATAATTTTCGAGCGTTTACTGTTTCACAGCTAACACTCTCGGGGGGGATATTTGTAGTTGTCAGACAGCAACCTCGCGTGAGTGATGCGTGCACCATGGCCGAGTGTACCATTGACTCACCCCCTTTTGTTATTGGCCCCTATCAGCATTCGGGTGTTACGCACGCGTACTCATACGCACACAAAGCCACTTGGCTGTTTTAACGCCAATAAACGGTCTTCTCCACTGTCGACTTTTGTTCTACTGTTCTCTAATTGATACGGCCTGTCAACTAGAGGGTTGCAAGGCAGTGCTAAATCTCTAGCCACTACGAGTCGAGTGTCATTTTATATAACAAGGAGGATGACAGTGGTACAAATTCAAAGCTACTTATTACTGTTCGGTAAAGACATAAAAAATGTGACAGGAGATGAAATGACCAATTATAGAAAGAGGATTTGAGCAATATACCACAACACGAGATCTACAAATGATGACGGGAGCATGAGAGATTGGCATAAATGTTGGGATCGAAGGAATTGCTGTCATAGGTGCCTGATGAGATTTCAGCTGTGACTCGACGGAAGTACCATTGCTCCATGGCATCATATGCCTCTGGTTGAAAGTCAGCGTGGAACTTGTTGGCGGAAATGTGTGGCACACTCTGCAATACCGTCACATGATCCATTCCAAGCACGCAGACACCTCTGTCAACCTTGGTAGGACAGGTAATATTATAGCCATCCCAAATTACGAATTTGCCCAAGAAGTTGTAGCCCACTTCAGAAGCGGGTGACGGGCCATTCAAACAGGCTCCAGGCAGTCGAAGATGGCTGTTGTAAGCGAGAGTTGGAAAGTAAAATCTCTCGGGGTGCATGATGTTTCCTGGTTGGATTATGACGTTACGAATGGGACCAACAGCTGTTCCCAGGACTGCTTCCTGCAGAAATTCCCTTCGGTAGGCACCATAGATAGAGCCTTTGAACCACGATGCCTAAAGATTTAAGCGCAGGAGTAAAATGTTAGATGCTGTACGTATGTTCTCATGTTCTGGCGAGTGGTTTGCGCCAAAACACCATGGCTGTAATGGTTCATTGTACAATTTCACCAGTTATGCGCGTTGGCGAGTGAACATTAAAGGAATTTCTATTACTTTGTTCGGTTTTTTTAAGGAATAGTTTGTAAATGCCTGTAGGTAATTGGCATGCCCAGTATTTAGCCATTATCTACTCTTTACGCATAGGGAAACTTTATCTGAATGGAAATCGGAATCATAGTTCTCTGTTTGTTCTAGTAATTCTGGAATGTCAAGACGAATTTTCATGAAAAGGCTTTACTTTTAAGAAACGGTGGTGGAATCGAAAAAGATTTATTAAAATTTGAAATCCCGCTAAGTGGATCAATTTATATGTATGTAGATCGCCGGGAAATGTTCTGCTGGGATGTTTACTTCAATGCATTAACCTTACATAAGAAGCATTAAAACTGCAGATGAGGACTTGATACCGCATTCGTATCTACTGTTTTCAAAAAAATCTAAGGTTGAAGACAATGGATTTGGCGTGGCACTCAGTGATTGGCCACAACGCGGTTTACGAGAGGGTGTTTCATGAATGTACATGCATGAGTTGAATCAGGTTGCGATGTGAAATGTCAAAACGGACACTCAACTGACTTACTAACCACCGCATACGGATAAGAAGCTGATATGCTATCAACTCTGCGTGTACCCCCCCTTTATGGCGTCCAATGGCTCTTTTGTGAATTATTTCAAAGCGAGTTTGTTTCCCTTGATTTATTTAACGCCAGAAGTGTTCTAGAAAGACATGTTCGTATGTTTAAATCCACATTTATACCACCATATGAGCTTGTGACTTGATATTTGCTAAAAAATCACTTGTTGCCCTGTAAATACGTGGTTATTTGCTGGTTTAAAGTTTGAAGTCACTAGGATACGGACAATTTCTTTAGCCAGTGTAACGTGCGAAAGAACAATTAGGGAATCATTATTTGTGAAAATCTGTCCCTTTTAAATTTAGGGGCGTATAATTGAACTCCACTGCTAGCACAATCTTCCACTTGATGAAGATGCTTGGTGTGCAGCTTCAGGTCCTTTATAAATAGGCATTGAAGCTGGCCATTTAACACCGTGAAAACTCATCAGGCCATAGTAGTAGACGGTAAAAACCAAAAATTGCACGTTACATTTCATCTCACTATCCCTAAAATCCACATTTAATTTAGGTAAAAGATGCTAATTTCTATCGTTATCAACCGCAAATAATAGTACCTGGCAAACGAAACCGTTCTAATTCACGAATGATCATGTAATGCTTTTCAAATTTGAAGAAAAACGCCTTGGATGTTTGTGCTACGAGTGATTTTCGCTATTTACGACGTCAACCATACAACTCTCTACCCCATTACTAAATCGAGAAGTCGGGATGGTTCGGCAACCCAAGTCATGCGTTATTTCCTACGTCATCGCCATCTTAATTTGCCACTGGAGGCAGTAGCTCGAAGCACAAGTGTTGTGGTTATTTTGTGAATGAAGTTGTTAGGCATTTTCTGCGTTTTTTTGCCAATCACCGACTCTCCACCTAGTGACGTCATTTAAGCAGTCTGAAGCCTAATTCAATTAGTATTAACGGCACTCATTGTAGTTGCATGCTAATCAATTCCACCAAATTTAGTTTATTGTGTTCTTCTAATCGCACCCGTTTTATTAAAAATATCTATGGTTGAATACAAGCGAAGCCTTTCACTGCGCATTGTAAGCATTATCAAGTTCGACTCATTCGTACATTAAATCGACAGCCCTAAGACTGCCTGCAAGTAATATCAGTTCAAAACGGTAATTTGATTAAATCACTATTTCCGCATTTAAGCGAGCACTATTCAAAAGTGCTGATATTTAAAAGCCTAAGAAATTCTAGGGAACCATCGTGCATAAATTAAAATGCGTTTTAATGTGCCAAATTAAACAGTACGTTCGTCTACTTGAAAAGCGACATCCGAAGTCTTACTTCATTTTTTTAGCGAGTAGGTGATAATTGAGGCGCATGAAATGCGTCTTAGTTACTGTCGTTTGTATTTACGTTCAGATTTAGGCTTAGTCACACACATGAATGAAGACAGCAAGTAGATTGGCTGCTTTATGAATAACAACCTCGACGACAGGGGTTTGGTCAACTGTGGTGTCATAGACTTTTTGAAGGCATGAACAGGCTTCTTTAAATCACAAATTTACGAGTTTAATTTGAAAGATGACTCTGGCTTACATTCAGAGGTAACGTTGTGTTTTTCACCCACGCCTTGTACTTATCAAGTGGAAGTGACTCAACGAGATTGGACCCATTTAAGGCCTTGAGAGCGGCAACGAGCTCGAGGTTGGTTCGCAAGGGGAAATCCTGACCCGCCAAATTGATCAAGTACTTCCACGTGGGGTGTTGATTGAGTGCCTGTTTTGCGCACACGACCTGCTGAAGGAGAATCAATTCGTCATCCCAATTCACGACAATTGGTTCGCCCGGCATAATCAAATCCACATTTGTGCCAAAACATTTTGCTACTCCACGTAGAGCCGTTTCGAACGACGTGTTGGCGTGTTTGTCGACGTGAATGCAGTAGTAGTTATTAGTTCGATGAATCATTCTGAGGAGTCGAGCGATCTGACGAACGTCTTTTTGAACCACCAACGTAAAAGCTATGTCCATGTCATCGAAGGAATTGGCCACAATTGGAAACCGCAGGCGGAATAGACGACAAAATGGGTGCGTAGGAGAATCGATCGCGGCAAAGTAATCATCGGTTTCTGAGAAAACTGTTGGAGCTGGTTCAAGTTCGGCCTGGTATATTTGGTGCGTATATAAGTACAAGAGTACTCCAAGACCGAGAACCATCAGCAGTACCCAACCGCAAATCCGTTTTGGCCTCCTGCGTCGATACTTGTTATCTGAAGAACATGGAAATAATATTAAACAAAATGAGTGGCAAATCAAATTAACTTGGAGTAATAGGAGTCTGCATTCATTCAAGGGTCCCACGGGGCTATTAAGCAGAATGCTTTACAATATGCCTACTTGCAGTCTTGTCGTGGTTTAAAGCAAATGTGTGCACTAGCCGCCATCATTCGCATGACTCTCTTTCATATATTGCCTATCCAGCAATGCATTGCCTGAGTAACAGCAGGTACGACCCTACGTTCTGGCTGGATACGCCCAAGTGTTTTGTAGGACCATGTTCCAGACACTACACCTATCATCCCTATTGTCGGCATTGACGTCCTCTTGATACACTTATTTAGGTTAAGCTGAATCTAAGTTAAACAAGGCAGGAGCTTGACATACGAGAAACATTGGCCTACCTCACAAAATAGTTCCTTTATCTAAAAAGATTCTTGGCGTTAAGATGAAAACCTAGTTTATGCCTCAAGGATTACGAATTTCATTAAGAGTTATCATGGATTTCTATTATTTCGTTAAATATTGCATCGTTAAATAGAAAACTACTAAACTGCGCACTAATTTTGACAACGAGGTCAACTGTAAATGAGGAAAGTGATTTAACTTCCAAGATCATCTAATCGACATATAACGGTGAAGGCAAGAAACATATATATTACAGATTAACAGAGCGTTTGTCGTAATCGGATGGTAGATAATTGGCTACAAATGGTTAAAAAATATTTGACGTCAACTGCTGAGCAAATAACTGCCTTTCAAATTTGTTTTGGCGTTAATATAAAAACGGGTAAATGGAAAACTCACCAGCACGACAGAGGAAGAAGTCAACAAACAATCGAGTCATTCCAAGAAATCAATAATCGGAGATGAAATGTGCTCTAGCAAACTTCGCGTGCAAACTGCAGTTGCACCTGTATAACTTTTGTACCAAATACCATGTGAGAACGTGTTTGAGATAAAAAAAGTGCGGGGGACATTTTTGCATGAAAGTCAAGCCAATTGGAACGTTTGATAGATAGGTGGTAGGAGTCAAGGTAATCGTTGGGTGCGTGGATTGAGCGCTCGCGTAAACACACTGCAGGTTCCTACATGCATTGCTGCTACAAACCCACCTCTGTAGGCTTACGAAAAGCTGCTCAAGTATTGAGACTTCCGCCTCCTTAAGACTAAATCTTTTAAAATCGATTACAATTTTGCCTTTTCACTATCATTCAGGCATATGCACGCCAATGTTGTTTGGTCGTCACCTTCTTTTTAAATAGTTCTCATATTTGCACTCACGACTGCCTACACCAGACATACCCGGCCTTCGGTTGAGGCGGTAAGAGTTCACTGCGAGGGGTGATGTCTTGTCTCGTCTGATCTCAGAAAAGGCACTGAGTCTTCCGATTTCTGTCTATGTGCTAAATCCCGAGGGGAAACTGAGTTGCAAGGAATACCGTTGTTGTGGACCCCAGCATGCGGTCTTGAACCACGCCGGGGCCACGGAATTAACCCTGGCCCGATTACGCTACCTGTTTTGTATTGTTAAAGTTTGCATTAGTGGTCTTTGGAATTAAAACCAAGTGGCTGGTAAATGACACGAACTGTAGAAGTAAAGGGAATGAATTGCCAAGTGCTCACCAAACCCATTAGACGGTGGGTTGTTTTGTCATATGGAGGCCAAGTCAAGCCACTTTAACACAGCACTGAGTTGTTTGGCTTCAGATAGCAATCAATCATACAGTGAAAATAACGAAGGGAGTAAAATAGGGTAATGATAGAATCACCCCTAGCGGTAGTGACTTGTTTTTTGCTAGCCTCACAAAGTTTTCGGGTATAATTGAATCAACAACTGTAGATCCCTGAAGTGTCTTGAGTTCATCTACCAGTTCCATGCTGGTTTGCAGTCAAAATTCCTCCACCGCATGATGTGAGTCTTCAACTCCCGTTTCGTACGGGTCATTTGTGGCAGCAAAACAGCTGTCGTCATTCAAATTCCACTGCTGTGGTCTCCTCACATGGAAGGAATTCCACATTTGCATCAAAACACGCTGCAACGTGACGCAGGTCCTCGATGAATAAACAGTCTGAGCGCCTGTTTGTATGAATGTAGTGGTAGTTAATTTGCCTGTAAATTATCCAACAGATTCGAGTAATCTGGCGTATGTCCTTGTGAATCACCACTGTGAATGTTATGTCCACGTCAACCAAAGGGTCGATAGTGAGGGAAAACGCTGTCGAAATTGTCGACAGTATGGGTGGGCGAATTCCAGTGTGAATGCAACGATTGATTTTGATCTTTCATGCTCGATGTAAGGTGCTGTAAAGAACATCATCACTTTAGCTGTCACTACTGCAACTCTCATGCCGATTCGATGTCAACGTGAACGTCGGTAACATAGAAAAGTGTTTGAATATGGATTTGTTACTTTTACGTTGTGAGTAAAAGATGTTGCATGTGTTCATCTACGAAAGGAACTAAGTATACCAAATGAAACACTATAAAGTACAACAGCTACTTTTGAAATTGCCAAAGAGACAAGTGAATGTAGTTCATTCAGAATTCGAGTAAAACTTGGTGAGAATAAGGAGAGCAGAAAAGACACGAATATGTGAATTCAATGTCATCCGATCATTCATCCACACACTAAGACACACACTTGGCTGACGTGACGCTAATAAACGGTTGTGTTCTCAGTCGCCTCTTGTTCCATTCTTCTCGGGTTGTTACGGACTATTTACTAGAGGGTTGTAAGGCAGTGCTAAAACTCGAGCATCACCAAGCTACCTGCACGAGGTCTGTCGTACCATGCTTTAGTTTGGGTAAACGTTGACACAGGTGACGTAGATGATTATGGACTGGCAAAAATCGAGTGGCTGAAAGAAATGCTGGTAGATTGTGAGTGTCTTCAACTCGTCAATTGACAGTCTTCCGAGCAGTATCATGGGGTTTGCCTATGATCCGGAACACGGAACACCCTTGTACTCCTTTTGTGAACTTTACGAAAGCCTGTTCCAGAACGACATTGGTCACAGGATGGTGCATGGAAGGTCAGACCCCCTACTTACAGACTACATCCGATGAAGCTATAGAGGTACCGGGGTTCAATCCTCCCTGACATCCTTAAGTGACCGCCTTCAACGTATATTCACAGAACGCTTTTCTCTGTGCGGTTTCAGTTATCGCTTTCTCAAGTTCTTAATAGGTTCAATTTGACGTTGAACATTTTGATTCTGCTTTTGCCTCGATAAACCTCAGTTAAATGATGCCATGAAATGAATGAGTGGCGGCAATGTTGACTTCTCCTGGAATCATTTCACATTTATCCAAAATCCCAAAATTTAAACTTTGCGGTATTTATGTCCATTGTTTTAACCAAAGTGGCAGTTTGCAGCATATTTCAGTGCCTGAAATCAACATGGAAACACTTATCTGCAACGACGCATGCATCTCAGCATGTTATCATCGGTGTTGATTAATGCACGGCATCAACGGTGACATTCTTCATCTCAACGACCCCTAAAATTAACCCAGAAGAAATGCTTGATTCCTGGGTGTTAGGTATAAAAATGGAACTTCGCATGTCGCCTTGAATGAGTCGCCGTAGATATTGAAGACGAAAATCGAAGTGTCATCGAAAGGTTTGGTCAACATCCACGATGAAGTCCAACATGCGCACGATAATTATCGAATTGAAGCATTCACGTTTGCTTAAGCTTAATACATAGCAGACGCCTAACATGTGCACAATGCGAAACAATATGCGCTACAAATGCGCCTAGTTAGACATATTCGAACAGCTGGCAAAATACAGGTTGTTAGTAACAAAAATAAAAGCAAATGTATCAAGAATTCTAAATATGAAGTCTTGAGCATAAGCGTTTAGCATAAATGCTTGGGTCGAAGGAGTTCCCGTCATGAGGCGATGATGCGATTTCAGCCATGACTCGTTGGAAATACCATTGCTCCAACTCATCATATGCCTCTGGTTGATAGTCTGCCTGGAATGCGTTGGCGAACATGTGTGGCACACTCCTCAATAACGCCACATGATCCTTTCCAAGAATGCAAACCTCGCGAACGTATTTAGTAGAACAGCTTGTATTGGAGCCTTCCGAAATGACAAACCTTCCCAAGAAGTTGTAACCTACTTCCGAT